CTATAGCACAACACCCCTTTATATAGTGTGTAGGGAACATGGGGATACTTCCATGAGATGGAGGGAGGATGGTCTTGCCCTGGTGAGGTGGTCACCGCCGCCTAGCATTGGCCAACCCTTGGATGATATGCACCCCCTCTCCATCCTACGGTGCTGGAGGGGCTCCTGGTGATGGTCGGTACTTGTCCTAAGGCGCCTGAAGCTTGTGGGTCCTGTCCAAGTCGGTTTGGTGAGCCCTCCAATCCAAGTGAAGCTCCAGCAAGGCCCTTTGATGGAACCGACATTGGATCAATGGTTGATTAAGCACTCCACGGTGTATTTTCTCACTTTGGCATGGATCAGTGACATGGCACGCGAAGGTGGGGCACCGGGCGATGCCCGGTGGGGTTGGATGACCCCACCAAGGGGGCCCTGGCGTCCTACCACGCCCATGCTTCCTGGGTTTGAATTTTGATGAATTTTAACCAAATTTTTCAGTATTAAATTATTTTCTATGTACAAGTGGAGCTAGATCAAATATAAACATTATTTGCTACATGTGATGTTGATTTACCTTCACTTTGGTAGGATGCTGATGGTCAAACACATGGGGTTTATTTGCCGTGGACACACCTTCGGGAGGCCATGACAATGATGACTATCAACGCTACGAGTCTAGCGAGCAAGCTGACGGACGCCTCCTAGGCGACTTTGATACATTATATTGCTCATTGAGAACACCGACCTCTGTCGTTGGTACCGCTCTCCCGAAGCGAAGCTCCGGCACCGAGGCCGTGACGTCAACAACACGATACTCCATGAAGGCTGCACCCAAGGGTAAAGCCAGAATCTGGTAGCTACAATGCAAGCGGTGGATGATATGCCACAACCCTTGTCCCAATGAGGGACGCCACACGCTCTACAGGATTCAACCCCTAATTAAGACCGTCGCAGCACGCTTTGCAGAATTTTAGTATTTTTCTAATTTATTTTAAACCTAATATATTTGATGTAGTAAATTATTTTAATACTTATCTATTTATGGATGTAAGTTATTTTATTATAATTTATGATTTCATCATAACTATTATATGAATAACGATTGAATAACTGATATATTTCATTGTTAATATTTATTTATAATTGTATTTTTTTAGTTTTCCTTGTCAATGTTATATACTCACATAGTTTATTCTTTACTTGTTGCAAAATGGCGACTTGTTGCCTACCATTCTAACTTGAATTTCTTTACTTGACCTATCATTTTATTGAGTATTATCTTCTACACCTTAAAAAACCTCTAAAGTAATCGTCTATCTAGTTGCGACTCATTACAAAGTCCTTGTGCGTGTGTTCGATAGGAATGGATACGAAGTCCTGCGGTAAATAGGAATGTATACGAGTCCCGATCAGACACAAACTCTCTACACTTGCAAATAAAAAGAAGACGTATGCAGGCCACTTAGCCTGATCTCTACGGCCCGGCCGCGGTAGTGGATAAGAACCGCACACGCGCCGAGGAACTCAGATACCGACGTAAGTAGGGTACAGGCCTACTACTACTACAACAGCCGAGCCATATAGGAATTTGAATTATTTTATCTCTAATATATATATAAAGCAGCGAAAGTTTTCGTCCACCCGGCTAATCACAACGTGCCCTGCCCTCCCGACAAATCACCGCGTGCCGGAAACTTGCGCATCCCACGCCACCTGCACGTACAATCTACAACTAATTCCGGTGTAGAAACAAGGAAAGAAAGAAAAATCCCTGGACGTACCACACCGCACCCCGCCACCACCAAAAAGCATCGATCAAGGGCAGCCAGCTCACATCGGCCTCGGAGCCCAAAAGCCTACCGCCCATGCCGAAACAAGCAGCGCCCACCCCTCCCTAATCCGCACCGTAACCTCCATCGATCATGGTGGATCTTCGACGATGACGCACTTGGTGGTCGCCAGTAGCGGAACCGATCGTGAAGGCCACGGTGAACGTGCCGCGGCTGTTCGCCTGGGCGCGCAGACTGTGTGGTGTTCACCTCCTGCTCCTGCTTACGCTACTGCCATGCCGCGACGCTGAGTTGCATTGGACGGACGTCATGGACGTAACAGATTGGTTATTATAGTTCGTGGTAGCGTTCTGATTTGATCAGCCAATCTGAATGCGGACGTGGTATGCTATTGATGATGATTATCTGAGGTCGGTTTGCGTACGCGAATTGAAGATGGTGGCAGAGAAGGGGGCGTACTCATCGTCGTACTTACCATGCTCTGGTAAAGGTCCATATATGATCTGCAGAACAAGACAGCACAAGACAAACGATCTATCGATCTGTGTGTGTCCATCATAATTATTGAATACTGAAGTTAACTTACCCATGGCAAAGTTCATGCTTGCATTTCACTGGATGCGCGGACTAACGGACGTGTGTACTCTATCTGACACCCAGGTCAATCTTGGCATACATACATGCATGTTCTGATCTGCTGGTGCGTTGAGCAGATGGTGTTCATCCCGCACATCACCGCCGGCGACTCTGACATGACGACAACAGCGGAGGAGGCGTTGTGCCTACTAGAAGCCTGTGGCGCCCACGTCATCGAGCTCGACCCCTAAGTCGACAGCCCCATCATCCAGGCTTCTAGCTTCCGGGCTCTGGTGGGGGGCATTAGGCATGACGATATGGATGGCGTGCTGGAGATAATGCTAGCTCATGCAGGGAGATGATGCCGGAGCTGTACTGCCCGGTGTTGCTCTTCTCCTACTAAAAGCCCAACATGTCAGAGAAGCTGGGGTATACGGTAATGACCTAGCTACTAGCTTTCACCTTCATTATTTGACGACTCTATACGTAAGCCAGAATCTGGTAGCTACAATGCAAGCGGTGGATGATATGCCACAACCCTTGTCCCAATGAGGGACGCCACACGCTCTACAGGATTCAACCCCTAATTAAGACCGTCGCACCACGCTTTGCAGAATTTTAGTATTTTCCTAATTTATTTTAAACCTAATATATCTATGTAGTAAATTATTTTAATACTTATCTATTTATGGATGTAAGTTATTTTATTATAATTCATATAATTTATGATTTCATCATAACTATTATATGAATAACGATTGAATAACTGGTATATTTAATTGTTAATATTTATTTATAATTGTATTTTCTAGCTTTCCTTGTCAATGTTATATACTCACATAGTTTGTTCTTTACTTGTTGCAAAATGGCTACTTGTTGCCTACCATTCTAACTTGAGTTTCTTTACTTGACCTATCATTTTATTGAGTATTATCTTCTACACCTAAAAAGACTCTAAAGTAATCATCTATCCGGTGATACCAGTAAATCCTGTTGATACCCAGTTGCGACTCGTTACAAAGTCCTTGTGTGTGCGTTCGATAGGAATGGATACGAAGTCCTGCCGTAAATAGGAACGTATATACGAGTCCCGATCAGACACTAACTCTCTACGCGTGCAATTAAAAAGAAGACGTATGCAGGCCACTTCGCCTGGTCTCTACGACCCGGCCGCGGTAGTGGATAAGAATCTGCGCACGCGCCGAGGAACTCAGATACCGACGTACATAGGGTACATGCCTACTACTACTACAACAGCCAAGACATGTAGGAATTTGATTTTTTTTTATAAATGAATAAATATTGCTACAGTTAATTCACAACTAGATGACGCCAAACAAGGTCCGCTCAAAAACCAAGCAGTCCCGAAAGCTGGATTCTCGTTGACGTGGCTACTATGGAAATTTCTATGTAATTTCATGGTTCGACTATACTTATGCCAACTTCTCTACACTAAAAAATATGAACCATTATTGTCTGCAACACTCATATCCCCACTCGTCCTTCCATCAAAAAACGTGTCCTACGTGTATGTTATTCTAAGTCGTAAGCCACTGCGTCGTTGTAGGTGTGGCAAAAATTTGTGACCCCGTGCAACGCACGGGCATATATCTAGTTCATTATAATTTAGTTTACTTAGATATTGAAGATTTTTAGAAGAGTACTTAGTTTTTATTTCACTTTGGTAATCGATGAACTTAGTACTAAAATTTTGTTGATTAATGTTGAATTTAACAATATATGCACTTTGAGTTGAATTGAGTAAATATCCAAATTGAAATCTAAATTCGAGACATCTGCTTTGTATTCGTATTCAAAAATATCCATATACGCATTCAATTTTGAATTAAAATATGATAAGAGCATGTACAATAATGGACTTATAACCAAGCTAGTGCTGATGTGGAGGAAAAAAGGGAGGAGAGAGATGAGAGCATGGCTCCTATGCAAGCACCAAGCTGGACACGAATGCATGTGCATTAGTCGACCCAAGTAGTAAGGGTTGTGAGGAGGAATAGAAGAGATAAACTTTTTTAAGACAAATAAGAGACACTTATTGTATAACTTGGCTATTGTAATTTGTATTATAGCTAAGAAGCTTAGCTCTATTATTGACCTTGCTCAGAAAGGTGATATCCAGATGCAATTTCTCGCGTATCTGATCCGTTTCCCATCCCCAAGATTTGGTATAATTGCGTTTTTTTGCTTACACACATGGGACTGTACATTAGCTGCATTCAAGGTGTCAACACGTCTGGTGGGTGGAATGCTGTACACACACGGCACTGTACGTCGTCTTCAGCTCCACCAGTCTTCACGGGGCCTGAGATTACTCTGGCGTCGCCTCGATCACCCCTGAAATTAATACCGCCGGCAATTAGTTTTCCCGTGGCCGGTGGCCCCTCGTAAACCGTAAAGTCATCATGATGTAGCTCGTCTCCTCGGTGGTCGCGGTGCCACGCTGCCTTTGACCGTTCGTTTACCTCGTTATGAGCTGTGAGATTGCACACGATAAAAGCTTCTCGTCTTTCCTCCATTTTTCATCGCGGTCACCAACTTGGCGCAGAATCGTCCTTCATCCTGCGTGCTACTCCAGCATCTAGAACTAGCTAGTAGCCTAGTACTCCTACCACGCTCATCTCATTCTTCACAGATATGTGCACCACTGCAGCGTCTGCCGTCTGCATCAGCAGTGATGGCGAGGCGGTAACCACGTCGGCAATCTTCGCGGAGGCTGTGTCTGGATCGCATGTGCTCCTGATCAAGGGGTTCTCCCGGACCAAGGGAAACGGCAACGGCAAGTTCTTCAGATCCAGCTCATTCACTGTGGGTGGCCAGCGCTGGTATATGAAATTCTACCCCGATGGTGATCGATCCGAAAGTGCCGATTGGATATCGCTCTATGTGCAGCTCGATGATAGCGACGATGTGGAAGTGAAGGCTCGACTCAAATTCAGCGTACTTGACGACATGGGTGGATCCGTGCCGACGTTTAGTCGGGAATCCTCCTCTTTGGATATCTTCTGCTCCAAACATCAATCCTGTGGTTTCACCAAATTCGTTGCAAGGAAGGACCTGGAGGAATCGTCTTAAAGTAAGGTGCGATCTCACCGTCTCAAAGAACATCCGAGCAGAGGCCCACCACACAGTTTGTCCTCCGTCCAACATGCACCAGCATTTTGGCTGGCTCCTCTCAGACGCAGTGGGGGCCGACGTCACATTTGAGGTTGCTGGAGAGGTGTTCGCCGCACACAGGTGCGTGCTGGCTGTTTGTTTTATTTTGTTGTATGTTAGTTCTTCTCTACTAATACATGTCCGAAGATTTCCCGTCGATTGCCGTTTAAAAAATAGGTGTGTGCTGGCTGCAAGGTCATCGGTTTTCATGGCCGAGCTCTTTGGCCACATGAAGGAGAAGACAATGAAATGTATACGGATCCAAGACGTGGAAGCAAGTGTGTTCAAGGCTATGCTCCACTTCATGTACACTGACACCATGCCTGACATTGATAAGGAGGATGCGTTTGTGATCACCCAGAATTTACTTGTAGCAGCTGATAGATATGGTCTAGAGAGACTCAAACTGATTTGTGAGGACAAGCTCTACAACTTTTGTATTGGTCATTTCTTCATATGACAAAGTGGTAATGACATTGTTCACAAATGTGACACATCTCTCATAAGGTTTTATAAACTACATGAGACATGTGTAAGATTAGTGAACAATGTGTGCTAAGAATTTGTCAAATGAAGAAATGACCAAAATAAAGGTTGTAGATATTCATGAGTTGAACAACTTTGGTATTCATCACTTTTTACGTTGAAATCAATTTGGGTCTCAAATTTTGGTTCGAACTTGTCGTTTTTCAAAATTTCAAATTTGAAAGGTTCAAATTTTGCCAAATGACAAGATGACTCAAATAAAAGTTGTAGATATTAATGAGCTGAACAACTTTGGTATTGATCACTTTTTATGTTGAAATCATTTTGGGTCTCAAATTTTGGTTCGAACTTATCATTGTTCAAAATTTCAAATTTGAAAGGTTCAAATTTGGTCAGATGACAAGATAACTAAAATAAAAGTTGTAGGTCTTGATGAGTTGAACAACTTTTGTATTCATCACTTTTACATCTAAAATCATTTAGGGTTTTAAAATTTGGTTTGAACTTGTCAAATTTTAAATTTCAAATTTTAAAATGGATAAAACATTGTCACATCCCAATTTGACCAAACTTAAATGTTGAAGCTTGATTTTAGAAATTTTTAGATAGAAAACCATCACATTCGGAGTTAGTATGAGGGAGAACAGGTAGTTACAAAGTTTACCCACAGATTAAAAAGAGAAATCACACTGTTTTATATGATACTTACATGATCATAGTAAATAGTGTGATTTTTTTTAATCTGTGGGTCAACTTTGTAACTAGTTTTTCTTCCTCATTCTAACTCCAAATCTGATGATTTTTTTCCTAAAATTTTCTAAAATCATACTCTATCAGTTTTGTCAATATATACATATGAAAAAGTTTGAGCAATTTAAATTTTGAATTTAAAAAAAATGCAACTTCAGACAAGATTTTGGTACCCCAAATGATTTCGGCTGAAAAAGTGATAAGTACCAAAGTTGAATAACTCATCAAGATCTACAACTTTTGTATTGGTTATTTCTTCATATGACAAAGTGGTAATGACATTGTTCACAAATGTGACACATCTCTCATAAGGTTTTATAAATTATATGAGACATGTGTAAAATTAGTGAACAATGTGTGCTAAGAATTTGTCAAATAAAGAAATGACCAAAATAAAGGTCATAGATATTCATGAGTTGAACAACTTTGGTATTCATCACTTTTTACGTTGAAATCAATTTGGATCTTAAATTTTTGTTCGAACTTGTTGTTTTTTAAAATTTCAAATTTGAAAGATTCAAATTTTGTCAAATTACAAGATGACTAAAATAAAAGTTGTAGATATTGACGAGTTGAACAACTTTGGTATTCATCACTTTTTTATGTTGAAATCATTTTGGGTGTCAAATTTTGGTTCGAACTTGTTATTTTTTAAAATTTGAAATTTGAAAGGTTCAAATTTTGTCAAACGACAAGATGACCAAAATAAAAGTTGTAGATCTTCATGACCTCTACAACTTTGATGTTTATCAAATTTTCATTTAAGATCATTTGGTGTCTCAAAATTATTTTAGTATTTTTTATTTTAATTTTTTAAAATTTAATTTTTTTCCATTTTTAAAGGTTCAATTTTGTAATTTTAAACTGTTGTAGTTGTTTTAGTTATTGTATATGTAAATATATCTATAAAAAAATAATTATAAAATTTTGTACCGTATTATTTATTATTTACATGTGACATGGACATGGTCTCTTTCCACGTCGACACGGGTGGGTTGAATAACTGGAGTCTGGAGGGAACCATAGACTTCCAATCTCTTCCTTCCCCCAACCTGCTCAAAACCCTAGCCCAACACCACAGGGTCGCCGACGCTTCCTCGGCACGCCACGCCATCGCCGCCCCGGGACGATGGCGAAGCCTCGGCGCCAAGCGCTCCGCCGCCTCGCCTCCTCCTCGGGCTCTTCCTCCCGCCGCCGTCCCACTCTGTCTCCTCCGCCCGCCTCGTCCCGCTCCCGGTCGCGCTCCCGCCCTTCGTCCTCATCCTCGCATGCCCGAGCCGCTCCCCTCTTCCGGCTAAGCGCAGGTCCAATTAGAATTAGAAAATAGAATAAAATAGAATATATATATACATGTACAAAGTTGCTCAAAAAAAACTAACGAGGGATTTAAAATTATGAAAGTAAAAAAAGAAATAGAACTCATCAAAACAAAAATAAATTGGATACAAATACAAATGCTTCAAAAAAATCCCATATATTGAAACGAAAAATAAAAAAAACAAATGGATTTATATACAACAAAAAATTCGGATACAAGCATAAAAAATGTTGGTTTCAAATAAACATAGAAATACTAGGATAAGATGATAACGACAAGCAAGATAGAAAATAGCAAAAAAAAATACAAATGTCTTGCTAACTAGTAAAAGAAAAAGATAAGTTGAATCCAACTACTTCTGGAACAAGCCACCAAGCCAGCTCCAATTTCTACCAAAAAAAAAAGGTCCAAATAAAAGAAGAGTCCTCATCTGGCCGTCCGTTTAAACGCGGGACGACATCGATCGGCAGCCGAACCACAAAACCACAAAAACCCAACCCCAACCCTTCTCCGCTTCCCCTCCTCGCTTCCTTCCTCCCCGCGCCGCCGCCCCCTCGAACCCGAAAGGAACCCTAACCCTAGCCGCCTCCGGGAGGCAGCTAGGAGAGAGCTCGGAGCACCAGCCATTGCGGAGCACGACCTCACGGCGCTGATGGCAGCGCAACTGGACCGGCACCTGGTGTTCCCGCTGCTGGAGTTCCTCCAGGAGCGGCAGCTCTACTCGGAGCCCGAGTTCCTGGAGCCCAAGATCCGCCTCCTCAGCAGCACCAACATGGTCGACTATGCCATGGACATCCACAAGTCCCTCCACGGCACCGACGACGTCCTCGAGGACATGGTCAAGCGCCGCACCGAAGTCGTCTCCAGGCTCAGGTTGCTCGAGGAGGCCGCCGCCCCGCTCGTCGCCTTCCTCCAGAACCCGCAGCTCGTGCAGGAGCTCAGGCCCGACAAACAGTACAACATCCACATGCTCCAGGAGCACTACCAGGTCCGTTTTTCTCCCCCCTCTGCTTCTGCCTCGTTTTCATTTAGTTGTATTGGTGTAATTCTGTGTTTTGGAGCGTCGTCAGATGTGGTTGTGAAATTAGGAGTTTGTGTGTCATTAAACAGCCTGAAACATGTCCGATGATTTCTCGTCGATTGCCGTTTAAAAAATAGGTGTGCGCTGGCTGCAAGGTCATCCGTTTTCATGGCCGAGCTCTTTGGCCACATGATGGAGAAGACAATGAAATGTATACGGATCCAAGACGTGGAAGCAAGTGTGTTCAAGGCTATGCTCCACTTCATGTACACTGACACCATGCCTGACATTGATAAGGAGGATGCGTTTGTGATCACCCAGAATTTACTTGTAGCAGCTGATAGATATGGTCTAGAGAGACTCAAACTGATTTGTGAGGACAAAGTGGTAATGACATTGTTCACAAATGTGACACATCTCTCATAAGGTTTTATAAACTATATGAGACATGTGTAAGATTAGTGAATAATGTATGCTGAGAATTTATCAAATGAAGAAATGACTAAAATAAAGGTTGTAGATATTCATGAGTTGAACAACTTTGGTATTCATCACTTTTTACGTTGAAATCAATTTGGGTCTCAAATTTTGGTTCGAACTTGTCGTTTTTCAAAATTTCAAATTTGAAAGGTTCAAATTTTATCAAATGACAAGATGACTAAAATAAAAGTTGTAGATATTAATGAGTTGAACAACTTTGGTATTGATCACTTTTTATGTTGAAATCATTTTGGGTCTCAAATTTTGGTTCGAACTTATCATTGTTCAAAATTTCAAATTTGAAAGGTTCAAATTTCGTCCAATGACAAGATAACCAAAATAAAAGTTGTAGGTCTTGATGAGTTGAACAACTTTTGTATTCATCACTTTTACATCTAAAATCATTTAGGGTTTTAAAATTTGGTTTGAACTTGTCAAATTTTAAATTTTAAATTGGATAAAACATTGTCACATCCAAGTTTGATCAAACTTAAATGCTGAAGCATGATTTTAGAAATTTTTAGATAGAAAACCACCACATTCGGAGTTAGTATGAGGGAGAACAGCTAGTTACAAAGTTTACCCACAGATTAAAAAAAGAAATCACACTGTTCTAGATGATCCTTACATGATCATAGTAAACAGTGTGATTTTTTTTAATCCGTGGGTCAACTTTGTAACTAGTTTTTTCTTCCTCATACTAACTCCAAATCTGATGATTTTTTTCCTAAAATTTTCTAAAATCATGCTCTATCAATTTATTTTGTCAGTTTTGTCAATATATACATATGAAAAATTTGAGCAATTTAAATTTTGAATTTAAAAAAAATGCAGCTTCAGAAAAGATTTTGGTACCCCAAATGATTTCAGCTGAAAAAGTGATAAGTACCAAAGTTGAATAACTCATCAAGATCTACAACTTTTGTATTGGTTATTTCTTCATATGACAAAGTGGTAATGACATTGTTCACAAATGTGACACATCTCTCATAAGGTTTTATACATTATATGAGACATGTGTAAGATTAGTGAACAATGTGTGCTAAGAATTTGTCAAATAAAGAAATGACCAAAATAAAGGTCATAGATATTCATGAGTTGAACAACTTTGGTATTCATCACTTTTTACGTTGAAATCAATTTGGATCTCAAATTTTGGTTCGAACTTGTTGTTTTTTAAAATTTCAAATTTGAAAGATTCAAATTTTATCAAATGACAAGATGACTAAAATAAATGCAAGCGGTGGATGATATGCCACAACCCTCGTCCCAATGAGAGACGCCACACGCTCTACAGGATTCAACCCCTAATTAAGACCGTCACAGCACGCTTTGCAGAATTTTAGTATTTTTCTAATTTATTTTAAACCTAATATATTTGATGTAGTAAATTATTTTAATACTTATCTATTTATGGATGTAAGTTATTTTATTATAATTTATATAATTTATGATTTCGTCATAACTATTATATGAATAACGATTGAATAACTGATATATTTAATTGTTAATATTTATTTATAATTGTATTTTCTAGCTTTCCTTGTCAATGTTATATACTCACATAGTTTATTCTTTACTTGTTGCAAAATGGCTACTTGTTGCCTACCAATCTAACTTGAATTTCTTTACTTGACCTATCATTTTATTGAGTATTATCTTCCACCTCTAAAAAGACTCTAAAGTAATCATCTATTCGGTGATACCAATAAATCCTATTGATACCCAGTTGCGACTCATTACAAAGTCCTTGTGCGTCCGTTCGATAGGAATGGATACGAAGTCCTGCATTGTTACGAAGTCCTGCGGTAAATAGGAACGTATATACGAGTCCCGATCCGACACTAACTTTCTACGCGTGCAAATAAAAAGAAGACGTATGCAGGCCACTTAGCCTGATCTCTACGGCCCGGCCGCGGTAGTGGATAAGAATCTGCGCACGCGCCGAGGAACTCAGATACCGACGTACATAGGGTACAGGCCTACTACTACTACAACAGCCAAGACATGTAGGAATTTGATTTTTTTTTTATAAATGAATAAATATTGCTACAGTTAATTCACAACTAGATGACGCCAAACAAGGTCCGCTCAAAAACCAAGCAGTCCCGAAAGCTGGATTCTCGTTGACGTGGCTACTATGGAAATTTCTATGTAATTTCATGGTTCGACTATACTTATGCCAACTTCTCTACACTAAAAAATATGAACCATTATTGTCTGCAACACTCATATCCCCACTCGTCCCTCCATCAAAAACGTGTCCTACGTGTATGTTATATTAAGTCGTAAGCCACTGCGTCGTTGTAGGTGTGGCAAAAATTTGTGACCCCGTGCAACGCACGGGCATATATCTAGTTCATTATAATTTAGTTTACTTAGATATTGAAGATTTTTAGAAGAGTACTTAATTTTTATTTCACTTTGGTAATCGATAAACTTAGTACTAAAATTTTGTTGATTAATGTTGAATTTAACAATATATGCACTTTGAGTTGAATTGAGTAAATATCCAAATTGAAATCTAAATTTGAGACATCTGCTTTGTATTCGTATTAAAAAATATCCATATACGCATTCAATTTTGAATTAAAATATGATAAGAGCATGTACAATAATGGACTTATAACCAAGCTAGTGCTGATGTGGAGGAGAAAAGGGAGAAGAGAGATGAGAGCATGGCTCCTATGCAAGCACCAAGCTGGACACGAATGCATGTGCATTAGTCGACCCAAGTAGTAAGAGTTGTGAGGAGGAATAGAAGAGATAAACTTTTTTAAGACAAATAGAAGACACTTATTTCTGAAAGGTGATATCCAGATCCAATTTCTCGCGTATCTGATCCGTTTCCCATCCCCAAGATTTGGTATAATTGCAGTTTTTTGCTTACACACATGGGACTGCACATTAGGTGCATTCAAGGTGTCAACACGTCTGGTGGGTGGAATGCTGTACACACACGGCACTGTACGTCGTCTTCAGCTCCACCAGTCTTCACGGGGCCTGAGATTACTCTGGCGTCGCCTCGATCACCCCTGAAATTAATACCGCCGGCAATTAGTTTTCCCGTGGCCGGTGGCCCCTCGTAAACCGTAAAGTCATCATAATGTAGCTCGTCTCCTCAGTGGTCGCGGTGCCACGCTGCCTTTGACCGTTCGTTTACCTCGTTATGAGCTGTGAGATTGCACACGATAAAAGCTTCTCGTCTTTCCTCCATTTTTCATCGCGGTCACCAACTTGGCGGAGAATCGTCCTTCATCCTGCGTGCTACTCCAGCATCTAGAACTAGCTAGTAGCCTAGTACTCCTACCACGCTCATCTCATTCTTCACAGATATGTGCACCACTGCAGCGTCTGCCGTCTGCATCAGCAGTGATGGCGAGGCGCTGACCACGTTGGCAATCTTCGCGGAGGCTGTGTCTGGATCGCATGTGCTCCTGATCAAGGGGTTCTCCCTGACCAAGGGAAACGGCAACGGCAAGTTCTTCAGATCCAGCTCATTCACTGTGGGTGGCCAGCGCTGGTATATGAAATTCTACCCCGATGGTGATCGATCAAAACGTGCCGATTGGATATCGCTCTATGTGCAGCTCGATGATAGCGACGATGTGGAAGTGAAGGCTCGACTCAAATTCAGCGTACTTGACGACATGGGTGGATCCGTGCCGACGTTTAGTCGGGAATCCTCCTCTTTGGATATCTTCTGCTCCAAACATGAATCCTGTGGTTTCACCAAATTCGTTGCAAGGAAGGACCTGGAGGAATCGTCTTATCTGAAAGATGACTGCCTTAAAGTAAGGTGCGATCTCACCGTCTCAAAGAACATCCGAGCAGAGGCCCACCACACAGTTTGTCCTCCGTCCAGCATGCACCAGCATTTTGGCTGGCTCCTCTCAGACGCAGTGGGGGCCGACGTCACATTTGAGGTTGCTGGAGAGGTGTTCGCCGCACACAGGTACGTGCTGGCTGTTTGTTTTATTTTGTTGTATGTTAGTTCTTCTCTACTAATACATGTCCGATGATTTCTCGTCGATTGCCGTTTAAAAAATAGGTGTGTGCTGGCTGCAAGGTCATCGGTTTTCATGGCCGAGCTCTTTGGCCACATGAAGGAGAAGACAATGAAATGTATACGGATCCAAGACGTGGAAGCAAGTGTGTTCAAGGCTATGCTCCACTTCATGTACACTGACACCATGCCTGACATTGATAAGGAGGATGCGTTTGTGATCACCCAGAATTTACTTGTAGCAGCTGATAGATATGGTCTAGAGAGACTCAAACTGATTTGTGAGGACAAGCTCTGCGAGTGCATGGACACAAGCACTGTGACAGCTACACTGGAGCTCGCTGGGCGCCATGGTTGCCATGGGCTCAAGAAGGCATGTTTTGAGTTTCTGAAGTTGCCTAACCATCTGAAGACAGTCATAGCGACTTTGGGCTTTGATCATCTAATGACTACTTGCCCGTCTCTTATCAAGGAGCTGCTGGCCAAGGTCGCTACCTGTCCATGACGTTTTCACATTTGACTGCGTATGTTTAGTTTTCATTCAGGGCAAAGCAATGCACTATCTAATGTGGAGTAGTAATGTATGGCTGAAAGTGTGGTTTGAGTTACTTGATAACTGATGAGATTTGTTTAATCTGTGTTTTTTGTCACTGCATATTAGAATTTGCCGATATAATCATGTTCCAGTAGCATCGCAGCAGCATGATATTTTTTTTTTGTTATAGGCCATCTATTGTAAATATGTGAGCAAAAGCAACTGGATCTAGCAATGGCCCCTAAAACACAACCACTACATTAGATTTGAGGACTCCCTCTTTTTACTGGCCCACAATAAAAGCCATTAGATTAGATATAATCTATATTGTAAAAAATCGTTCCCCTTTGCCGTTATAAAAAATACATAAAGTAACATCTAAATTACCCACTACTTATGCAAAAAAGACTTCCTAGTTACCGCCATTGCAACCCCCGAGCGCTCCCAACGGGCGACTCGGGGGTGATCCCCCCATCTCCGGCGCCGGACCCCCCCCCCCTCCTTCCCTCCGCCCGCCGTCGCTGCCCTCCGGCGTGCGGCGGCGGCGGCCCGCGCCGGGTCCGAAAGGCGGTACCCGTTCGCAGCTCCGCCTAACCTTCCCCCGCTCTCTCCTCCACCCCTCCTCTTCCCCTTCAACTCCGCCAGGTCCGGCGCTGGGAGGCCCAGCCGCAAATCCGGGCCCCTTTGGCGGATCAACCGCCTGGGACCCCAAGCGGGCCTTCGCCAGGGCGGCAGCGGCGGATCTCGACGGCCGTGGCGTGCGCGCTTCGGCGGAGGCCCTCCTCACGGCCGGGTGCGCTCGTCGACGCTCAGCAGTGCCGTGGGCGTGCTGCGGACAACGGCTATCGCTGCTTGCCTTAGCTCGGCGGCACCGTTGGGCCACCCTGGTGGAGGCAGATCGGCGCAGCCAGCGCCTCGGTGGGGGTTGGCGGCATGGCGGCCATCTCGGTGCGCTGGTGGCGCTAGGGCTGTGGGCCACCTCTCCATGTGCCTCGGCTCCATGGGCGTCCGACTCGACGAGACGCGGGGTGCTACGTGGGGTGTCTACGTCGGCGGCGCCGCTGCCCTCGCGGCAGCGGGATCAAGCGCCACCTGCGTGGTGCTGGCTGCCGCCCGCCAGGTGGAGGGCGCTGAGGCCAGCCGCGCAGATCCAGGCCCCTTTGCCCGGATCGACCGCCTGGGATCCCGGCGGGGCCTGGTTCTGCGCCTGGGGCGGCAGCGGCCGGATCTAGATGGCCCTGGCGTGTGCTCGGCGGAGGCCCTCCAACGGCTGCGTGCGCTCGTCGACGTCTGTAGGTGCCGTGGACGTGCCGGACAACGGCTGCGGCGCTGCTGCTTGGCTCCGGCGGCGCCCGGTTGGGCTGGCCCTGTGGCGGAAGATCTGGGCGCAGCCAGGCGCTCCCTGGTGGGGTTGGCGGCATTGCGGCCATCTCGATGCGCTGGTGGCGCTAGGGCTGTGGGCTACCTCTCCATGTGCCTCGGCTATACGGGCATTCAACGAGACGCGGGGTGCTACGGCGGGTGTCTGCGTCGGCGGTGCCGCTGCCCGCACGGTCGGTGGGACTGGCGCTCAGCTGCGTGGTGCTGGCCGCCGCGCGTGTCTCCGTCGTCGCTTACGGGCGCGGTCAGTTGGTGCTGGCCGGCCCGTCCGCGGCTGCCCGGAATCTCATGAGGTCTACTGCGGATCCGGTGAGGGTTGCGGTGCTAGTGGAGCAGCAAGGGGCGGACGAGACGGAGGCCCCTTCCGGGACCTTGTGGTCTGGATCTGGCGTCGGGGCCGCCGTCTGGCGTCCTTGTGGCCATCGTGGACATGCCTCTTTCTTGCGCATCTGGGAGTCCATTTCGGCATGCCGTCGGCGTGGCCCCCTGGGCGATAGCCGGAGTTCGCTGCTCGCTGGCCAGGAAGCAACTTGGCACAGTGGCCCCCCCTCCCCCGACCCACGGTGCGACTAACGTGCTTGGGTGTCTACCCTGCCCGGCTTCTTGCTCCGGGCCAGCGGCAGTGGCGCAGTCTGCATCATTTTCCTTCCTGAAGGTGTCGTTGAAGCCTGTCTGCACTGTTTGGGTCATTGGGGGAGGCTCCGGGATGAAAAAGCTCTGCTCATCCTGTGGATGAAAATCTTGTCTGTGCTTCTCCGAACGTTGTTGGCATCCGCGGATATCATCCCCTTCTTGAAGGCTTCGTTTGGGGCACTCTAGCTGCCACAACTCTCTTAACCGCGCGTCGATCATCGGTGTTGCTGCCTGCTATGCTGTGCCTATCTGTGCTTCCTCTCTTTCTTCGCATTGGTTTGTCCTTCGGTGTTTGTTGTTGCCGCTGTCGTTCGGTTCTTTGGCGGATGCTTTGCCGCTGTTGCTGCTTGGGTGGATGCTTGGCGACCTCGTCGCTTAGGTCTCCACGCTTAGTCAGCTGCAGAGCGTGTGATGGCCCTCATTACAGATGCTTTGCTGTAATGGTCCTTTTCCGGTGAATGCTTGGCCGCCGTGGTCGTTTCTCGTGCGGATGCTTTGCTGCTGTTGTCGTGCCGGCTCCCTTGGCTTCCTTGGTGGATGCTGGCTATCGCGGCTACACTACACCTTAGGCTACCAATGTGTTTTTGTCTTCCTCAGATAGGCTCAGTCTGTAAGGGGTTTGCTGGTGGAGCCCCCCGTGTTTTCTTGCTGTATCGTTTGTGCTTGTGGGATTGCGCTGGTAATTCTAGGATTACCGGCTAGTCCTTTGTTGTTTGGTTCGGTGTTGTCTACTTCCTCTTAATGAAATACGTGCTACACGGCACGTTCGAGGAAAAAAAAACAAGGGAGTGGTGTGCATTTTTTGAGAATTGAGAGCTTCCATGAGCAACTCCGTGAAAAATGGCCACAAGAATGGTGAAGGAAGGGTGTGAGTTATGGGTAAAGTATTAAAGGGAGTGAGGTACAATAGGTGGGAATAAAAGGGGTTTGGTTCCAGGTGGTTTTCACCGCAGGTTAATAGTAGCTGGAGTGCAGTTGCCATTTGATCCGGCGATCATGAATCGTTTTCATCACTATGTCAATGGACGATCCACCAGAGAAAACAATGGTAGTTATCACCGACAGATCATATAATGAGCTGACAGTGAAAGCAATTTTCACTTTTGGCTCAAACATCCATTGGGCGAAAAATCAGCGGTAAAAGTCGTGATGATTTTCATTGCCGAATCATCGCGCTGACCCAGCGGAGAAAACAATTTTCACTGCCGGTTTTTCATACCACCATATCCCACCAGCGTTTGAACCTGCGGTGTTAAATTATCACCACTGGTTTTGGGCAAACTGACTGTGGACACCTAGATGTGAAAATGAACTGTAGTAGTGAAAAAAGATTCAACCTAGAAGGGGCTAGGTCCTTTTATAATCCTCCAAGGACAAACTTTACTGAACTCACAGAACCCTCTAGATATCTTCTTTTTTGATTTTTCTATGGCCAGCTCAAATTCTTCATTTACGGCAAGTTGCCTTACAGCCAACCTGAATTCATCCATTGATGGCTAGGTAGTGCCAATGTCCATTTTAGATGGTCCTTATCACAAGTAATCACTGTCTCCTTTGGAATGGCATCATACACAGGAATGTCTATACCTACAGAATCATTCTCCAGCTCGGCCACACATCTTTTTGCCACATTTGCATTGTCCTGAAAAGCCTACATCTATACCCATCCTCATCCCTCAAGCGTAAATCTCATTCAACTGACTTACTAATCAGTTCAGTTCTCCCATCGTCATTGCGAGCCTTCACAACATCTAACTTATCTCCAATCAGCGGGACTTGCTGCGGTACTCCGGATACCTTTTAGGTGATAAGATCATAAAAAAACATAGCCTCTAATTTTATATTCAGAAAATGTAATAATTAAATCGTAAATTAAAAATTCCTAGAATCTTAGCATCCCTAATGCAATAAATATTTTGTCACCTTCTTCTGTGTTTGCACTGAAATGATCAGGTAAAGAGAAAAGAAATCCCCCGTTCCCCGCTTGGTCTACATGAGACATCATTACTAGAAAAAAGATTTTTAAGAGACAACCTCTCTAATTAATAGAGGAGGGATAATCTAGAGCCCACCTCTATAAATGGTTGGACGGCTTCTATAGGCAAACGTCCATCTTTGTTAATCACTTGCAGAGGTGGGCATCTTGAGGCGGTCACCTCTGTTAATCATCAACTTATAGAGGTGGTCGTGTTAAGATGCACGCCTCTGTAAATCGATTAACAGAGGTGGGCATCTTAAGATGTCCATTTCAGAGAATCACTGTTAACAAATGCAGGCATTTTAAGGGTCTGTCTCTGGAAATTGATTAACAGAGATGAAGCGTCTTGAGAATAGTTGCATCAAAAAATATATCGTAACTTTTCCATTTGAAGTCTGATGAATGAAATTTATATGAAAATTGTAGCTCTCTACGCGATCTACATCTTTATAGTTCAGAAGGTTTTTATTTGAAACTGTTTATAGTACTAAAATAAAAAAATGATACTGGGAGAGGCCCCACCGGACTGCCACACGGTCGCGCATCCCAAGTCACAAGATTTTTTGCGTGAAAAACCAAGCTTTGCAGTCACCTCCTGCTTCACATGTTGATCCCCTAACCACTCCAACTGAAAGACACTTGTGTACAAATGAGACATTCGTCCTAGCCATTTTATATTCATCTGATTTTGAAATTAGTATTTGGACCCTAAACGATTTCAAATGGAAAACTACAAAGTTTTATAACTTTTCGAGATCTACATCTTTTGTTTTGGTCATTTCTATATAGGAGATAATTCAAACGTAATTTTCCATGGATAAATGATTTCAAATGAAAAAGTTGTCCACTGCAAAGTTGCACAATTTTTTGATATGTACAACTCTTGTTCTGGGTGTTTCTCCATCTGAGATCGTTTGAAAAATTCGAATTTTAAATTTGAAAAAATTAAACGTAATTCCGGTTAGATAGATGGTTTCAA